GAGACCATTATTGTGCAGATTAAAACCCCAGTGCATGTAGTTGATTTTACCTTCATCGTGGTAGTCATCGTTGGCCACTGAATCCGCCGTTTGTAGTCCTGAGTTTCTTTATATTTAGCCGGCTGTGCACAATTCCCAGGTCGAGTGAAAGCTACCGAACTGGCTTCAGTAGCATTCCTTGGGTCGCGTCCTCGGCGTAGATCTCCAGAAGCGCCGACACCTCCTCATCATTTCTTGATGCTTGCCATAACTGCTTTCAAAAACAAACACAACGCACGGAGCGTTGTGTTTTTGTAGCGAGGAAAAACAATGGCGTCTCCACAGAACATTTTCAGAGTTGTACGGGCGTGGTTTGCAATTCGCCCAGCCAATCAGCACTGGGGAACTTTTGGAGCACTTTTCACCCACAGAAAAGTACGCTCTCTGAGCTGGCTCTAAAAATGGGGGTAAAAGTACCCGAGATTAAGTACGATTTTTGGTGTGAACGCGACATAAGGGGTACTCACGGAACTAAAACGCGAAAAGTACGGTGAAAGTACTCCGGTGTGAACGCGGCTAATGGCGGATCGTGGAACCGTCAATAGTTCCCCGGAAGTTAGCTTGCCGCTGACTTCCGGGGAACTTTTGCGACCAGCAACACAGTACAGTTGCAGCATAATAGACCGTTCGTGATGGACTTTTAAAGGTAAGAAGACGTTTAAAGATTTATATTGCGGATATTATCAGCACATCTGAGTCAAATGAACATGTGTATTAAAGGATGTTAGTGGACTATCCCTAAATCAGTAGATTTAGGGAACGTTTACAGATAACAGATTAGGCTAGGATACCGGATAAAGTTAGCAACACACGTTAACCATGAACAGCTATTAATCCGTTCTCCTAATGTTATTTCATCCAACGTTGTGGAATTAGAGAAAAAGGGCTTCTAAACGTGATTTTTTTGTGGGGTGGAGGAATATAATATTAGTTAAATATAACATTGGGTCACGTGTGATTGTAATGAGTGGAGGTGGAGAAATTACGATCTCCATTTTGGAGTAGACCTACAAGCTAGTATAATAAAGTTAACGTTACACAATAATAAGGAAGAGAGCTATTTGTGTGATACATCGCTATTGATATGAATTTAGAGGGCATATTTGAGACTTCCAAACAGTAAACAAAAAGTAACCTACTGTATGGCAGGTGGAGGGGCAGTGATGTTACAGGTGGAGGACTTACTGGACATGTATACACTCATTACATACTGTACGTAAAATACGACCAAGAATGTGAGACAACTTTATACAAATTCATATCACATCCATTACTGATGCCATTTGTCATACTTTGTTAAACTCACAAATAATAAAGTTCCATAACTTCAGTTGGAAACAAAGACCACACCTTATCTCCCCAAGGCAATTTCCCATCCAATAGATGTGCTATATAGGTGTGTATAACCCTTTCTCCTGTCTGTTTCTCCCTCTTTCAGCACACGAACCAGAGGGGGATTCAATAGAGCCTGAATACCTGCACTGAGACCCTCACCCTGCACCCTGAGTCTCAACTCTCAGAGTTCTTCAAGCCTTTCCCTGTTATTTGTATTAAACCAAACATTAAGCTTCCCAATGGTGTGGTCTTCGTTTTGTGAAAAAGTGCAAATGCAGTGTTTGAATATGATTACCTCACATATTTTGTTGCGGCTGTCTGTTTTGATTGTTAAATTGCTCCTGCTGACTTGAGCTAGCCATTTTTCCCTCCTCTCTGTGTCAGTGGGGAAGCCGTACATTCTGATTCTTACTCCTTTCTCTGAGCGATTGGAGCATCCCCAGGCAGCACAGCAAACCATGGTGGAGACGATATGCCAGGACAACACGGAGGAAAAGGCACAGACAAACTGCATGACATGCTATTCAATGTTTATTGAATTCCATGTATTTACAATGGATGTTCCTAAAACAACACTTTTAACGTCATAATCATGTTGCTGCTAGTCCATTGATAAGTCACCTGTCGGTCTCCTGTCCTTTCTGAAAGTCATAAAGAGTACATTAGTCATTTAGATTACTTATGTCCTCAAGTACCATGGGATTACTGAAACCACCATGAATTAAAAAAATGGTAGAAATTAATCTAATCTAAATTTTGAAGCATTCCTTGCCATCCCCTACCTCTAAATATATCAATAAACATTAGGAAGTGATGCTCCTGACTACCATACCTGTTTAAGAAGATAATATTTGTTTTAAATAATTCAAAGCAATACACAACAGCAACAGGCTCTTTAACCAAGGTAATAACCTAACATGTATATGTTAACAAGTAAACTAGCTGTTCACACTATTCATAATATTATCCATAAATATTAGCAGATTCTATTTTATTTTTAAAACATATTGATGTAAATACATACACATATCGGTATGTTGTATAAATATTGCAAATCAAGACCTTTATTCACTACTTATTACCAAAAATCGTAGTTCTATCTCCGGTAATCATGCATTCATATGTCCCGCCACGAACTTCCGGGGAACTATTGACTCTCCCTGAACCACGTGACGATCAAGCATTTTGGACTTCCGCTGTCGTAACTCTTCTATCTATATGGCGCTGGGCCGGCTGTTTTAAAATCATCATTGACTTAAATGTACAGCGCTGCAGTGTAGGTAACCATGGCGATCCTCCTTGTGATACAGGCCCCAGCTCTCCGATAAAAACTAGCAATGTGCAGCGACACTGTTACAGTCAGTGGAATATTTAATTTGTATACAAATATATATTATACTTCATGTGAACAGGTCCCGACAGTCATCCAGCTCTGGCTCTGATTCGTAGCCATGGAAACAATCAGTTTGATGGTGTCGTCCTTTCTTCCGCCTCCCTTTATACACACTTGTTTTCTCCTCCTCTGTCTGTTGTGATCCCTGTGAGATGGGAGGATCTGGGATTTGTAGTTCTTTTTGTTTCTCCGTAGGCATGGCTGCCAGGAGATTCTGGTGGAACCTGGAGTTAGGGCAAATAAAATAATGCCCCCTGCTGCTTGCTTGGAATGTTTTATTTTCCTTTTCTACTTATTCAATACATTATTAATACAGACAGTTAATGACTCAGACAACCGAAAACACAATGAGTAGAAGCGTGAGGGCAGAAAGCATAGCTCATAAAGAAAATAGCCCCCGGTTAGTCTTCCAGTTTCAGTGTTTTGGGTCAGTTAACTGCAAACTTAGGAGGTGGGTTTCCATGTGTGTATGTATATAAATACAACCTAAATAAACAAAATGATATATATATATATATATATATATATATATATATATATATATATACATACACATACACCTATGGACTGATTTCCAGGGCGTTGTCCATTTTAGACACAGGTTTATTATATTTACAGCCCTTAATAACATTCATTTTCTGGGCTCGATATGTATCTTGGCTGTTTTCGTTGTGAAAACAAATGGACCGTAGATACACGGATTGACCGTCCTCATCTGCGCTCTTATTTTGTAAGGTAACTTCCGGTAGCAGAATATGAAAAAACGGTAGTTTTTTTGTTTCTGTTTTCTAGTGATTTTATTTTTTGTTTTGAGGAATAGGAAAATGAATATCATCCCGTTTTTTAAGTTTAGTAAATCCCTTTTTGACCATGATAAAGAAAAACGCCTTGTATTTCAATTTTGGTTTTTCAATTTTAAAACGAAAATTAAATATCCAGTCGTTTTTTGTTTTTGAATATCCATTTGTGAAAAGAAAATCCAATGACCAAAACATACACTGACACCCATACAGTGGCGGCTGGTGGAAAATATTTTAGGTGGGGCTGTGGAAATGGTGATCAAACAATACTAGGGGGGTCCGGGGGGATGCTCCCCCGGTAAAGATTTTTGAGAAAAGACCCCCTAAATTATGACTTCTGGTGATGTTAGAGGGGGGGAAGGACAATTTGAAGTTTAAAAATATGAGAAGACTGATCAATACCTCCATAACTTCAGTGTGGTTAGCTATGAATCTTCCAAAACTTCCAAACACCTTGTCCTGGACATAGTTTCTACAGCATAAACTGTGCAACAGTACAGTAGGCCCACACAAACTGCAGAACACCGGGGCTTTGGGAACACTCAAAATTACTTAAAATGATTTAATTCCCATTTAACCTGTTAAGGGGTTTTTTTTCCCCCATTTTTTTTCTCACGAAACTGTGTCTCAGGGCTTCTTAAAATGTAATAAACTATTCATGTGTCCTACTCAGAGGAAACGCAGCTAACTGATGATATGAACCATGTTTACCGAAACAAAACACAAGTCTCACAAGAAGCGTCTAAATGAGCCCTGAGCGAAAAAATGCTAACGCACTCTAGGTATAAATCAATCGATATACTTATCGGATATGCACAAACAAGCTTATGCTAACAAGCTGAGATTCCACAGATTCTAGAAATATAAGTATCATCACTGAGCGATCAGAACTCGCGACAGGGGAAGCAAATACAGACATCACACGATGTAGCTTTAGGTAGCAAAACACGGAGATATGCTCACCTTTTGCAGAATAACAATTCTGATCAAAAACGAGAAAAACGCAGCTGAAGGTTAATCCATAGGTTAATCCAATGTGTCTGTCACTTTGAAAAAATGATTGATGATCCATAATTCCATTTTTATGTCAAAAACTGAGTTTTCATTAGCTGCTAATGGTAGCTTCCAGAGTGTATGACAGCTTCCTGTTTTGTCTCCTTGGATACGAGTCCAAACAACTCACAGACTGCAAAACTCTGTGTGTGTAAAAAGACGATCCACAAGCAGAGATTTGAGATCCACAAGCGCATTTTTGGTTGACAAATACAAAATGGATTCACAAATGCCTGATCGAAAGTTGTCAATGTTAAAGAGATATTCACAAATTCCTTTTGTTTATTTGTAAATGAATTCTCTTAAATGCATTTGTGGATGGTGTTTTACATTTACAAATCACATATTTACACACAAACTATTTTTATGTTCACACAAATATGTATGAGACAAATCTAAGCCCATACTTTGTTGTGGTAGCTTGTGTTATGGTGTGGGGTATTTTTCTGTGCATTGCTGTTCTACTGTCTATTACTAAAGTGAGGTGTGGTCTCCTCCAGCACTCAGTGGCCATCAACTCAGGCTTCAGGAACTCCGGCCTGACTGTCAGCAAGACGGGCAAGATCATCACGGTAGGCTTGGGACATCAATGCCACTTCCTCGGTTGTACTAATAGATTATCTTGAATATTAATAATATTGTCAATTAATACAAATGGACATTTAGACAATCTAGGCAGTGGAACTATCGCTCTGCTTTGTAAAAGAAGTCAAAGTGTCCGTGCTGTATGGTGTCCCTGCAGGCCGTCCACAGCACCCACGGCCTGGAGGCTCCTCTCAGCCATGAAGGGAAGCTCCTGGTGCCTCATGACTACATCCATTTCCTGTGTCAGACAGCCAATCAGAAGATGGAGGAGAACCTGAGATTCATCCACAGGTCGGTCTGCTATACAAAAATAGGATGAGAAATGAACTGTACTTAGAAAAACTGTATAGTAATCTGTACATGGACCTGCATGAATACATTTGTACCTTTCTTTTCGCCCTGGAAATCAGTCCATAGGTGTATGTGTATGTATATATATATATATATATATATCATTTTGTTTATTTAGGTTGTATTTATATACATACACACATGGAAACCCACCTCCTAAGTTTGCAGTTAACTGACCCAAAACACTGAAACTGGAAGACTAACCGGGGGCTATTTTCTTTATGAGCTATGCTTTCTGCCCTCACGCTTCTACTCATTGTGTTTTCGGTTGTCTGAGTCATTAACTGTCTGTATTAATAATGTATTGAATAAGTAGAAAAGGAAAATAAAACATTCCAAGCAAGCAGCAGGGGGCATTATTTTATTTGCCCTAACTCCAGGTTCCACCAGAATCTCCTGGCAGCCATGCCTACGGAGAAACAAAAAGAACTACAAATCCCAGATCCTCCCATCTCACAGGGATCACAACAGACAGAGGAGGAGAAAACAAGTGTGTATAAAGGGAGGCGGAAGAAAGGACGACACCATCAAACTGATTGTTTCCATGGCTACGAATCAGAGCCAGAGCTGGATGACTGTCGGGACCTGTTCACATGAAGTATAATATATATTTGTATACAAATTAAATATTCCACTGACTGTAACAGTGTCGCTGCACATTGCTAGTTTTTATCGGAGAGCTGGGGCCTTTATCACAAGGAGGATCGCCATGGTTACCTACACTGCAGCGCTGTACATTTAAAGCTCCCATGTCATGCTTTTCCGGTTATTACCCGTCCCCTTGTGTGTTATGAAGGTTTTTATGCATGTAAACGGTGTGCAGAGTCAAAACCCTCAAAGTACACCCTGTAGCGAGTAAAACTCTAACACAGAAAATACCTCCCCAAAACGCCTCGTTGGAGATACGTCACTGCCCATTTGAGTCTTCCATTTAGTTCCGGGTACCGCCTGATGTCATGCGGTACCCGGAACGAAATGGACCAATCCCGAAGAGCTATGGCCACACCAGCAGCGGCGTGTTCCTCCTCCAGAGGTTCGAAGAACCGGCATTTCACAGACGAAAGCTTCCAAAACATTGCCCAGTTTGAGGCCGGATATGCACAGCTTGTTTGGACCGTTTGGAGCAGGGGAAGATCTGGGTATACAACCTGTAAGTTTGCATTGTTATTTGTGTATTTATCAAACAAGACTGTTTAAATGTGTAAACTGTGTTGGACTGCTAAGCCATTGACACAGTGCTAACTGTGCTAACTAAGTTGCTAGAGTTTCCATATATCAACTCTAATATCAGCAGATGGCCTTGCATACATGTATCTCATAGCAGGAGAATGTCTGCATTCACACACAAAATACCTATTGACAGTATACTGCGGGTGATTTGCCGGTCAGTCGCGAAACGTAATTACATTATAGCTGGCGTAGCGATCTAACACACGGAGCTTGAGCTAGTTTTGGTCAGAAAAACATTTTTGTGATGCTACGTTGCTAGCGTTTAAATATATCAACTACAATGTCAGCAGATGGCCTTACATGTTTGTCATGGCAGGAGAATGTCTGCAGTCACACACACGGAATACTCATACAGTATACTCCGGTTTACCGTACATTGTGACCGTACATATACTGCATGTAGCTAACGAGGCTAGCTGTATGCTAGCGCAAAACAATGTATTCATGCAAGTTACATTGTATGGTAGCAGAATACCCGTATACGATTGCAATTATAAACACGTTATTGCTAGCCTAATATGAACCACTAGCTTTTGTTCATAGTAGTTTTATTACACTGCATTATAGTTGCCTTTCCTCCAAGCTAACGTTCATATCGTGTTAGCTACCAAGGTAAACAAAGCTAGGTTAGCATATTAGCAGGCAAGCTGTTCATTACACAACTACTACTAACGAATCTAAAACAACTAAGTTTCTCTAATATTTTGTGATTTGCATTTGATTTCGTCCAGCCAGATCCTGGCGGACAATCCATGACGGGGAAGGGATTCTACTACTACTGAGGCGTCGTGCTAAAAGGCACCGCACCGCACCGGCTGTGCGCAGGCAAGAGGAGGAGGAATGGATGATATACCGTGTATATATGTATATTTATGTTCATTTTGTACATTTCTAAAAATAAAGTTTAATGGAAATACTTAGTAGGCCTATCCTTTCTTCCCTGAATTCATATATAGCAAACCATGATTTGATTTCTCATCAAACAGTAGTAGTTTATAACGGGTAAAAATAACTTACTCTTTGTTATGAGAGTAGCTCGTAGGCCACAACGGAAAGACAAGGAGACATACACGAGTTTACAAAACCACGGCACATTTATTGTGGTAAATGCAAAGATAGGTGGTTGAGAGGATCGCAGAGTTAGTCTTCCTGCAGCCGCTTTGGAGAGAGACTGGGGCCGTAGTGTCCGGAGGTGTCCGTGATCGCGCTGATTACCCTCTTCAGCTCCACCCCATCGTAAGACAAAGGCCCTGGGGCCGTCACACTCTTCTATAACAACAGTTAAAAATATATATGTATATAAAATATACCGCTGTACCGACGCCATGATAAGACTGATGTTACGCTGAGAGCAGCCGGGAAAAGCACTGACATGGGCGCAGCCTCTCTGGTGGTTGACTAATCAGAACGAGTGGCCGAGCTGACCAATCGGAGCACACTAGGCTCACAGGGAGGGGGGGGCAAGAGCTCCAACGAGTCGTTTAGTGGAGAAAGTGAATACTGCTGAATACACATGCTTGACAGAGATGCTGTATGCGAAACCAATGTGAGTTTGGAAAATTGCACAGTATAAATCTATTTTAGTATACCTCAACAATGTAATTATGATCAGTGGAAATGGCCATGACATGGGCCCTTTAAGTCAATGATGATTTTAAAACAGCCGGCCTATAGAGAGGCGAAGTCCCTCCCCTTCCGGTTGAGCTCCATGGGACCTTATTTCGGAAAAGTTATGCATTGAAGTCAATGGAGAGAGAAAGATTATCTTTCGATCCCGTTTGAATTGTGGCACGAATTACACATATGATGTTTGTCAATTTAAAAGATAATTTTGCAAGTCAAAAAAAAAAAAAATGTGTCGTAAAACTGTGAAGTAACACTTTTTTTTGTGTGAAACTGCTCAATGACCTACATCTCCCGTCTCGCACCACACACCAAGACGGCCGTCACGTTGGCACATTTCACTTCTTTCTTTCAGAATGAGGCGAAAAGTATTAAAAGAGGTGAAAATCACTCCAAGTCTGGCATGTTGAGAGCTGTACATACACACAAGGGGAGTTAGTCGGTTCCGTAAGAGCCAGCATGCGGGACCGGGATTCTGGGATTTGTAGTCTTTCTAGTTGCGTATTTTTCATAGTCTTATATTTCAACAGTTTTATGACAAACTGTGACTTTTTTGACATGGAAATTATTATTTAAGATTGACAAACATCATATGTGTAATTCATGGCACAATTCAAACGGGATCGAAAGATAATCTTTCTCTCTCCATTGACTTCAATACAAACTTTTTCTGAAATAAGGTCCCATGAGTCCCACCGGAAGGGGAGGGACTTCGCCTCTCTATTGAGGAACAGCTCTCCAGAGGACTGACCCACCGGTTACATACACCCAATCAAATGAGAAACACTGAACATCAAGAGAACCATTGTTACTACAACACTGCCTCTGTGGGGACGTCTCCTGAAGCTTCCTGCTAATAGTTTGTTTATCTCCTTAAAATGTATTCAAATATTTGTTTGTTTTTATGCTGCTGTCAGATCTCTATGTCTATCTCAAGAAAAACATAGATTGGTGCAGGAATGAGTCCTAAAACCCTGAGATGAGTTAGCATTGTGCCACTTCCGACTTCCTCATCTCCAAAGTCAGCGTTTTTGAACGTGTTTTTGGTTAGATAGTTGAAATAAGGTCTGTGGTTGACACAATATAATTTCACCTGTTGCTCTACGACATAAAGTACATCAGTAAACACACGACTGACGAATGTCTGAAGCTCCAAGTGTCATAAAAATGTCAGTTGCTAAAAAGTGGCTAAATGAGACTACCGAAGTCATGTGACCTTGATGTAGTTCCTTTATAGCCTAGCGTTAGCTTTTTACTTCTGGCAATGGCATTTACGCTTCAAAAATCTTAAAGTGGTGTTAATATGTGGAGACTGTCCTGCTGAACAAATCATGTATGTATTATAAACTGCAGTTTTTTCTGCAATAATCCAAAATCCCATGGAAACATCTATTTGGTTTACGGTATGTTGATGCTAACTTCTAGGTCGGCCTAAAGAGATACATCATCACTGAACCGCTGTAAATGCCTAATGTCTAGAATATGGCTATCTTACTTCATAATGAGAAGTTAAAGGTTGTCTATTGCCACTTTAAAGTGATATATAGATATATCTGACTGTCCAGTGCAGATGCTAATTTAGAATTATGACCAAATAAAATGTCTCAATTTATCAGAGATAACAATGAAAGAAACACTCTTAACGTTTTAGGGAACAGAGGACTTTAAATGATTTGTATTTGTTGACATTCCTTGTGATTTAAATACAAAATGTACTACATGAATACTGCTACTGTTTTGGTTCTGTTTTGTGTTGCCATGTCTTTAGTGTGTAGCATATCATTATGCAACCCTGTGATGTAGAATGACAATGAATGGTAGTTGGATCATTTGAACTCATAGTATAAAGATGCACATTGCCAAACTTCGGACATCCCTTATCTGATCAGTCATCACTGTGTGGGACTCAATGACAGTTACTGAAATGGTGCGAGGCAAAAGAATAATATGAGATTACAAACAACCATTTTAATCTCCTTTAACTGAAATATTCTGAACACTCATGCTAAATGAATAAAATGGAAACTGTATTGCAGTCAGGTCCCATAAATCACACTGAGCAGTATCATGCTATTTTTACGCAATAGCATAGGTCTCAGATATATAAAATATATAAAAAACATGTCTATGAAGTGTTTTGGTCAAAATACCAAACAGATCACCCATTCTAGCCATGCCTCATATCCCTCTATTTCTCTTCCTGTTCCAAAAGTGCTGATTCTGGGTATAAACAGGTCTCTCTTGAGAATGAGACCCTGTGTCTCAATGAGATTTTCACCTGTATAAATAAAGGCTAAATAAAAAAATAAAATAAGAGGGGGCGGAGCTTATGCTGGCTCATGCGGGACCTGGCAGATACTGTCTAAAATGCTGCGGTGATGAAACGCAAGGATTATTAGATCAAGGATTATTAGATCAAGGATTATTTCTGAAACAGTATGGAGCTCAAAGGCTTTCTCTCTTGCCGGTTATACCACAAGGTGAGTTCCTTTTTATTTCCTGCTTCTTCACACACATGCTCTGTGCAGTACAGGTTAGCTCTGAGTGTTAGCGATGCTAATGTAAACACCGACCATATTACGTCCAAAACAGTCGGGTGATTTTACGTCATATCGGCCGCAAATCTGCCGTTTTTAGAGATTTGAGTACGGAGGAAAAGTGAGAGGGTTTTATTTGCTGACGCTGCGTGAGTCCCCCGACACACCGGGGACACATCTTTATGTATAAAAGACATCAAAAAGTGC